TATGCGATTGTTTAGTTAAAGGTGTACGCCCCCTCAAAGTCATAATTTGGAATTTAAAAATAAATAAAAAAATTTGTTATCTATTTACATAGTACATTACTCTCTTAAATTAGTTTAAAGATTAAGTTATATAACTTTGCGTTACGTTCTCAAATAACTCTGAATTCTCATAAAGGAATGTATGTCTTTTAATATTTGCGTTTGGAACAAATTCATTTAATCTCAACATAAGTTACTCGGTAAGTTACTTTATGGAGCAAACAAATGTAGCTTAGCTTGATGGATTACCCCGCAGCGATCACTTAACGTCAACTTATGATACTGAAATGTGAGTGTTTGTTGAATTTTTATTATTTCTGACTTAATGGATAACTTAGAAGATAAACATTAACAATAACTGGCTTTTATCGGATTACTTAATTTAGTATATATTTTTGTTTGCCGAAACACTTGTACTAAAACATATTTTAACTGAAAAGTACACTAAAAACCCACGTAAAATCTAAAAAACGTTATTTAAACATTCTACAATGGCAGCATCTGTCCAATTCCGTCCTGAAGATCATTATTATTTGTAATATAATTCGTCACTCTTAACTTTTTCTTATATAATTTATATGTAAAAACATTGCACAATCGCAGTTACATGTAAATAATAGAAATAGCTTATACCTTCTATCTGATTTTCACTCGTAAATACATTTTACAATCTAATCTCATATCATAAAATTCAATTATCAAGCAAATGAAAAGCAAATCCCCGTTCTGATATTATATTGAAATCACCCTTTCGCTTGAAATAATATCCTTTTTCACTCAATATTTGCTTTCGATCGGAGCATCCGAATTCAGCGGAACAAAAGGCGTGTATTTGAAATGAAATAGTGAAACTGGATACACTATGAAGCACTCATAAAACCAAATACACTTCGAAAAATGAATACCTCTAGTTAAAAACATCTACATCGGTTTGCAATAAACAATATAGACACATTTTGTATTAAAAAATAGAAAATTTAACTACCTCTAAGCAGTTAAATTATAAAATAACTTATGAACAAACTGAAATTGTAACTGAAATCTGTATAAATCCGCATTTCGAATGAATGACAAAGTCTAAATATTAATAACATCGTTGACCTTATTTCGAACAAAGTTTTAATTAAAAAGTTTCCTACGAAGTCCAATATTTTCAGTTGTATTCGTCTTTTGGAAATATAATCATTAGTAAGCATTTAATTAATAATTATAAGAAAGATATTACAATTTAAAGACATAATTCCACTTATATTATAAATGCGAAAGTTTAGATGGATGGATGTTTGTTAGAGTTTGTAATCTAAACTGCTGAACGAATCTCGATGAATGTAGCATCGATGTAGAGGATAGCCTCAATCTATGCTTAATTTAATCGAGATCTGTTCAGCAGTTTAGGCTACAAATTTTAACAAACATCCATCCATCCAAAAATTCACATTTATAATCTATACTATTATAATAAAGCGCAAACACACACTTATTTGTTACCTAAGATGTCAGCAATCACAGCATATTTTTTAATAATAAGCCCTACACTTACGTCAGGTTTTAGGCTATATATTTTCACGCCATTAAACTTAGGGGGTAAATATTTTAGATAAATACCCTAATGTGGGATCAGATCATAAGTTGCTGCCAACATCAAGGAAGCAAGGTTGCCACGCTTTGTCATCATGTTATGTCATTTTGACATTTGCAATTGATAATTTGACACATGTAAACAATAAAATAAAATTTTCATAATTTTATGCGGATGAAGTCGCACGGGAGCAGCTAGTATTAGAAATATAATTGCCTAATCTTATTAAGACTGATCTTTGCAGCTAATTGTGATTCAATGCTGCTAACCACAGTTTATACATGAAGGACATTAATGCTTCAATAGTATTTGACATGTAATACTAACCTTAACTAGTTCACGGATCAAAGAGCTTAGGAAATTAGCTTATAGAGGAGCGGATATCGCGTTAACTCTAACCGTATCTGAAACTTGCTTAGTAATCAAATTGTATTTATTTGTAACAGTAGTAACATAGAATAGTTTATGTATAATTATAACTAGCTTTTGCCTGCGACTCTGTCTGCGTGGTATTTAAATAAAAAAAGTGAATAGCCTATGTTTTCTTACAGACTATCCTCTAGGTCTATACCAAATTTCATTATAATCCGTTCAGCGGTACAGGCTACAAACTCTTACAAGCATTCATCCATCCATCTATCCATCCATATTTTCGCATTTATAATATTAGTAAGATGTACAAATCTCTATATCTATACATACGAGTATAGGAGTGTCTGTAGTATCAAAAGAAAAATACCAGATTTCAGGAAGATGATGTATTTGTATTGCTGATAACTAAAATCACATTTAAAAATATTTTGTCTGTCTATCTGTCTGTCCGCAAGCCGCATTTGTTCAGGGTAGTCCCTGGCTGGGCCGATTACGACCGGACTTTCTCTGAAGGGTAGCAGACGTTGACGGGCATATTACAGGCTACTTCAGTTATTGATATCAATTTGTTACATCAAATTCAAATATAGGCACATGCCTACTATGTATATAGGCATATACCTACATAGGTAAAGTAGATACTGTGACGACTAAAGTAGAAAAAAGAGTAGATAGAGGTGATGAATCTATACTTGTTTTTTGTAAGAAGTAACAAATAAGCGCTGGGAAAATAGAAATATGAAAATAAAAAAATCAGCTTCCCTTCTAAGGCTTAACAATTTTATTTTGTATGTCATCTTCAAAATTCCTTCGTTAAAAGTCTTTAGAGCTTGTTACCGGCATATTCGAACAGAAATCCGGAAATTTCCTTTACAAACTTTATCGTTGAATTTCATACATTCGCAATATTTCCCGTTTAAAGTGATGTGACATATAATAAATTGCGCCCCAAATACAACTGTTATCAATGGATAGGTTTTGTATATAATTTACCCCATTTTGACGCTGATGGTTGCTGCTGATCGCAGTAAAGAGTTTTCGAACGAATAATAGTGATAGACTAACTGTTAATAACATCAAAAAATACGTTAAAGTCGGAACAAAGTAATATCTGTCATTTCTAAACAATTGCCTATCTATTAATGTAGATCTACGCAGCCACAGTATGAGCGGGATTTTGGAACAATTTTTTGAAACTGATGCGTTAATGAGCTGTTATAATTTAGTTTTTATGCCCCCGGGTAAGATCATTCTCCGTTTTATAACTTGTGGCATATCTATACTAATATAATGAAGCAAAAACACATATTACTTCGTGGCGTAGGATGTCAGTAAACACAGCATATTTTTGAATAAATATTTCTTTAATAAAAAAAAACTCTACACTTACGACACGTTTCAGGCTTATACATTCACACGCTATAAAACTTAGGTGGCAAATAAATTGGAAAAAACCTTAATGTGGGAAAAGGACCATAGACTACAAGCTGCCAACATCAAGGTAGGAAGATTGCCATGGTTCAGTTCAGTTCAGTTTCTTGTCTATGGCACTCTCTTAGCGGATTGGGCCAGTGTCGAGTGTTGCCATGGTTGTCATTTGTGCATTTGAATTTTGACATTTGCAACTATGAATTTACAAATATAAACGATAAAATTAAATTTTTACAATTCCATACTTATAAAACACCACGGGAACAGCTAGTAATATATGTAATCTTTACATTAAACGAAAACACGAGATATCTTACATCAGACATAAAATAACTTTCAGCGAACATCAAATACAATATTATCTCAGTTTGCGAACATGAAATGTATAATAAAATTGAGTCCTTTATGTCGTCACAGATTTATTGACCTTCTATAAAATAAGATCGTAGCGTTTATTTTTAGTGTTTCCAAGAAAACACTTTTTGTTGACATTATAAAAACATTTGAACATAATATGTTTGAACTAATCATCCTAACATTTTTTATACAAATTGAGAAGAGACTAAGCGGCCACTAGAATTCGCTGTGAATAGTTAACTGACCGCTGACCATAGCCCGCATTTTTAGACGTATTACCTACAATTAAGAGAGGAGAGTACTCGGGAAAAACCTTGTTAATAGCATTTGTACATGAATATACAAACTTCAAAGAAAAATGGGAATGAAAATCTTTCAAGTTTTCACATTAAGCAAGTCACGTAATCGGCTTTTCAACAGACTCGGCCGTAACTAGTCGACTTGCGGACTTTATAGAGGGCAAATAAAGAAGAAAAAACTTACCTTACTTAACTACGTGAAAGGCATATAAAAACAGGTAAAAATTAATATAATTAAAGTGTTGATAAATGCCTTTTAAATATATATTTTAAAACAATTACACAAGATGGCGTCTAAGATGTCTGTTAATTAACTATAGATGGCGTTGGTACGTTCTAACTTGTATGATAGAAAAAGTTGGGGGCGCATAAAAAGTATTATACTAACGATTGAAAATTTCAATAACAATAGAAAATTAATAACTTAAACATATCGAAAAGAGGCTAAGCAATAGAAATTATAATTTTACAATAAATCTAACCTCTGATGTTTCGCAGAATCACCTTATACGATTTTGAAACTCGATTAAACATAGTTTTAAGATTATAAATCGTCAGATTCAGTGAATCTTGTAAATTCAATGATCCATAAAATCTTTATTTACCTCAAAACGTTTGTTCGCTTCAATGTATTTCAATATTTGATCTTATTTATAACTGTTCGAACATAGTTGAATATTAGTCGGACTTATTCAACACTTAGCTGTTGCTGCCGACTTCGTGAAATTAAAAAATAAAAAAAATATCCACAGATAAAATATCTTTCTAACGGTGATTTTTTTTAAATCGGCCCAATAGTTTTTAAGCTATTTCAATACATACAAAAATATAAACCTTTTCTCTTTATAATATTAATATAGACTGAGGTTTATAATAATTAAGGGAATTAATAAGATATATGAATAATTATTTGATTGTTACAGGTTGGTGTTCTGCCACAAACGGGATCGGTGCGGAGACCAAGAGCGCCACGACTGGCAGACATACCAAGGTACACTATTTTACTAATAGCCTCTTCTAGAAGAACCTTAAATTGGTATTTCAGCTGAAAACGTTATTAAATTGATTTATTTTCCGTTTATAATGTATTTATTACGCAAATAACAAACAATATTGGTTTGTTAAGCTTTTTCAATCTATGAAATTGGGACACGGCTGTGCAATCATTTTAAACGAATATTTCGTTTAAAATCCAATCAACTGAATCAGATTTACTGACGTCTCTTCAATCCAAATGAAATTTGGCACCAACCAATTACACTGTTATTTTAATAAACAGTAAACACAAAACTATTGAATGCAACGAATATGTCATCATGAATTAACAGAACGAAATAAACAATTTAAAGGGCAATAAACATGTTAACAAAAATGTAAATAATAATACTCTCGTCTGTATGTTGTTAAATCCGAAAAATACAGTCATCATCCACTTGCCCTTATTCCTTACGGAGGGTCGGCACAGTATGTGCTGCTCTTCCATACGTCTCTATCAGCCGTCATATCTGAATCCACTCATTTCTTAAGCATATCCTCTTTCACACAATCCATCCATGCCTTCTTCGGTCTTTCTCTTCCTTTGTAGCCATCCACATTCAATCTTAACACTTTCTGGTTTATGTCCCCATCGTTTCGTCGCATAATATGTCCATAAATCCGAAAAGTACAAGTGATATTTTAAAAAATAAAGGTAATAAAGTAGTTAGACGATGCTAGCCCTTTTTCTTATGAAATCGACCAATCACGAGTTAGTAAAAACTTATTTACTTACGTAAGTAATTTAAAATTTTATAACATTTAAAATAGATATCAAAAATTATAACGAGAGCTTGAAAGTTTCGTTGAAAACGTTCACGGGAACGCTGCACGGCATTTCGCGGGCGGACGGAAAATTAAACGTTGCGCGGAATTGCATATCAAGTGCTAATTGGATATGTAGGTGAGCCTAACGAGCGCTGGGACTGGTCAAACTTTATTACGCTTATTTTATACATCAAAAATTTAACATTATTTTTCACTATAAAACGCAAAAGATTATCATAAAAAAGGTGTCTTGAACAAAAAACAAACAATTTTCACAATGAAAACTAAAGTAATAGAAGAAAAAGACGGCATACTAAAAATTAGGCATACTAGATAGGAATTTTAATATTAAAGCTAAAGTAAGTTACCATACAGGTTTATAAATCAAGATTCTTTTCGAATACAAAAACGTCAACAACTATGTAGTTAATTTTGCAAAAAAAAAGTTATCAGGGGATACTTAACAACGGTTGGAGTTCGATTACAAAGCATAAATAATTCTGACCTTTCTCCGACCCCTTCCTGACCTTTGGGCTTGTCTCAAAATAAACACTTTCTGGACATGTAAACATTTAAATAGCTTCTCAATTTAATTTACAACTTCTAAGGTAGCAGTAAGCTTCAAATTTGTGATTATTTTTTTGTTTTCATAATGCAGTTAAAACTAGATGACTCAAAGCGGAGAAAGGGCCTGTCTTACCAAATTGTAAATTGTCTGATAACAAACCAAAGTGTAAAATATGTGAATATCGGATTTTATTAGCTTATCTAACAGTGGCGTCTATTTAAGCTATCGGAGCTTCTATCAGCCAGTGATGGGACGGGCCCTAATTGTATTTGAGTAAACGTAACCTGTTATTTGTTATTACCAATAAATTGTTTTATTTTTTTTTATACTGTAACGTCATTTAAATATGTAGCGTGTTATTCTGGGTTTCGGAAACGCATTTCATGTATTTATCGAAGACACTGATGAATGGTTACACATTAGCTGAGAAACCGGCCATTAAAGTTACATCTATCAGATTATATACGGCGCTTACGTAGCGAAGTATTTTCGTTTCAATATTTGGCCGTTAATGTGTCTGTTAATATCACAAGCGTTGTAACTGATTCATGAACATCTTAGCTACCAAATAACTTACGCTAAGAAGATTAGTGTAATCTTATTAAGCGTGCTTCTCTCAAAGATTATTATATCCTGTTACATATCAAAGGGGATTACGCCTGGTTTCCTTCACAATCTACATTCTATTCCTCTTGATTCACTTTGTTCTTTACTGGGAATCACGTTACAGAGATGTCAATAAATTAAATTGGTAATTTTATTTAAATTAACGACTTGATTAATTAATTTTTGCAATCAAAGTTTACTTAACAGGAAGTACGTTTAATTAATTACTCGACTTGACCTAAATAAACACTAGTAGGTAAATAAAAACCTTTAAAAAATTATAGAACAGCCATTAATTACGTAAATATTTTATCTTATAGTACATTCGGAAGTTAAGCCTAGTAGTTTTACAGTGGTAGTGCCCGCTTTAACATCTTAGCACTGCAGGGCCGGCACGCCCGGTGTAATACCAGGACCACACAGAAGACAGGCGTGAAATGGAATCAGTTCCGTGTTTCGTCTGATGAGTGTGGTGCTGAAGGCCTAATTTAAGTGCCTTTCTCTTTACCACCCTTTTCTCATAAGGAGAGGATGGGAAGGAGAAGTGGATTTGACAGTGGAGGAGATGCATAAGAAGGGGAAATATCCTCTTTACGTGCGTCTCCTCCTCCGTCGGATAAGGGTCGGCAACGCATCTGCAATTGCGGATGTCTAGGAGCAGTGGTCGCTTCGCCATTTTGGCGGATTCAGGTGACCGCTTGCTCGTTTGCCACCTTATGATATAAAAAAAATAGTAACCTAATACAGGGTCTGAGTTATATTTTCTAGAAAATGTTAATAGATCTTCCTGTTTATTGTTTTTATTACCAATGTCAAGTAATAACGACATTAATCTTAAAAAGTTTAAACATTCCTTATTAATAAAGCTCTTACACATCTGTTGCAACACAATGTCAAAAGAGTAATCCGTATTCTCTAAAGAGAGAAATAAATTCTGAATTTCCCGCCATTTATTCCGCTTTTCGCTCCAATTTCCCCCCCAAAGCGTTCATATTTCATACCTCTTCTTTCATTTTACGGTTCTTGTAGAAAATGAACGTAAAAAAACACTTTTTTCAAATGTTTTTAACGTGAATTCAATTTAAAAAAGCCATTGAATGAACTCGCCTCATATAAAAGCGAATCTACATAATACGAGTATTTTAGAGTAAATTAATGTATTGAATATGAAAGACGGAATTGAAAGAATCACACTAATCATACTTATATTATAAATGTGAAATTTTAGATGGATGGATGTTTGTTAGAGTTTGTAGTCTAAACGGCTGAACAGATTTCGATGGAATTTGGCACAGATATAGAGGACAGTCTGGAAGAACACATAGGCTACTCACTTTTGTTTTTTTAATTCCACACGGACGGAGTCGCGGGCGAAAACTAGTTTAAAATAAATGAAAGCTTGAAAAATTTACATTTCAAACTTTTATTATTTTAAACATTCTCCAGAAGGCAAGCGTTCTTCTTATTTTCTTTGCCTTTGTTACATTCTTCGAAAGGCTTCGAATTGCTCAACCATTTAAAAAACAAACTTTATTACTTGTATTTTTTTGTTTAACAAAGACACTTATTTAAAAAAATCACTACTATTACTATTGTTTACGTTAATATTGAATTTAATTAAAAAAAAAACTATGTTACAATTACACATACGAGTTTATTACATTTACTCTTTTACCCAACATATCGGGAGTAAATTAGTGTATAATTTTTACACTCCGTTAATGTTGGCAGCTTGTAGTTTATGGTCGCTTTCTCACATGAAAGTTTTTTTTTCTTTCAATTTATTTATTATGTTTAATAGCGTGAAAATATATAGCCTAGAGCGTGTTATAAAGCCTAAAATGAAGAGCTTTCTATTAAAGAAATAATTATTCAAAAATATGCTTTTCACTAAGACTGTCCTATAGTGCAGATTTCATACAAAAGTTACTCTTAAGAGATCCTTAGTAATTATTAAGCTATGATTTTTTTTCTTTTAATTAAATCGAGGAATACGGTTTCATCTTTAAATATATTATAAATACTTTTATGGGTTTCAAAGGAAATCAAATAACGAATAAAATTTCCAGTGAACTTTACAAGAAAACCCGCATACAACTTTATAATTAGGTTACCCGTATGTCGGAGTGTGTAAAGTTTCTCTTTATTATAAATTTCCATGAAAGTTTTAGGCATGAGTACTTCTACTTTATTGCATACTGAACAAAAAGTAATCTTTAGAAATATAAAAATTAGACTGAACGCTATTCTATTAAACATAAAAAAGAGTGTCTGTCCGTCTGCCCGCTCAAAAACATAAATTACAATACCAATTAAAACAAAAATTGACAATCATTTCACGCCGTTATGTCCATACAACATTGCTTAACAGCAAAAATTATTACCGTCAGTTGGGTAGAAACAGTTATTAAAGTAAAGGAGACAAAGAGAAAGTTTATCAAAGAGCTGAAACTTTAGCTAAGTATGACAAAAGTACTTCCAATATAAATTGAGTTAGCATAACAATTGCACTTCGAAGGAATAAAGAAAAACAATCTCCGACTGACATTATGTAAAATGTACAATGCAAGAATTCAATTATGAAATATTGCTATTATTTTTAACCAGGCGTAGGTTTATTACAACCTTTGCTTCCTTTTAAAAACAAGCATAAAGTACAAAAAAATGCTTGAATTTAAAAGAATAAAGAGGATATTCGTTTGTTTTTAGAATAATAGGATGTTAATTAAGGTGCTATAAAACATAAGAATATTGTGTTTTTGTTCAATCGTTAACTTACCTTTCCCATTTATATTTCAAAATTCTTATAAGAACATAAATCGTTTACAATAACATTTAACTTAGAATTTCGGTGCTCAGTAATTTCCGTTCAGTTTGTAAGGCAAAATGTCGTTTTAAACGCCACCCAAAGCTGTTTGATAAAAGTTTCAGTAAAGCCCCGAACCGCAGTCCCACCGCAGTTTGTAAATTCAACAAAGATATCTGCGATAAGGTATTCTATTCGCATCTGAATT